TGTGTGTGTGTGTGTGTGTGTGTGTGTGTGTGTGTGTAATGTTCAAGTGAATAAACCTCTACTGTTCTCATTATACCACTGTATATAATTCACCTGGTAATTTCTACAAATACCAGGTGAATTATATGCAGTGGTATAACGAGAACAGTGGAGGTTTGTTCACCTGATGGGATGTAGTTGGACTAAACAGCTATTTGCAGTTTGACCTGTGTTTTTACACTGCAGAGGGAGGGGGGAATAGTTTAGAAGCTTGAATTGTGCCTAATCAGTGGTTTACAGTCCAGCAACGTTGATATCAATCTTTCCAAGGCAGATTACATTTGAGTGCTATTCAGTTTAACATGGGGAATTCCTAAGGTCCAGTCTAGTCGCATGAGCCACCCCATATGGTGGTATGTGGCAGTTCCACATGGGTCTCATAGCTTGTGGCTGTGGAGTGCAAGGGGCTCTCCTGCCCTCCCCACCTTTGCACCCCTCTATTGGACACTGCATCTCCTACCTGACTTGCTCTTTTGGCTTCACTCTGCTCTACTTGTTACTATGCTGGCCTGTAATATGGCCACTTTTATGGCCTGTAGTGAAGAGCTGGGGGCCCATCCCCTTAGCTTAATTCTGAGTAATGCTTCCCAAATTCACTCTCCCATTTGATGTACTATTTTGTACCTGAAGGTAGACTTCGAGACTGGAAGCACTGAGGAAACCTCTATTAAGGACATTAGTTCTCTGCTTTGTTTGAACCTCTCAAACAACCATGGGCATAGATGGAAGTGAGTGTCCTTTTTAACATCAGCAGCTTGACTCTTGGTAGCCTCTTGGTGTGACCAGGGCCCAAACATAATTTCTTTGGGCCCAGTAGAGACTTGTAAGGCAGGCCCCCTTCCACACACACACCATCCCACATCCATAAAATCTCATGAATCACGAAAGAAAATTGTCTATTTTAATTCTGAAGTTACATTCTACTTTGCTATTTTTTAACTTTTTGGTTGTTGGTCCTAATAATGGCATTATCCAGTTGATGTTTTGATGGGGTTTTTTGTTCTAATGGCCCAACATGGCTGAAAACATTTTATAAATAGACCAATTCACTTTAAAGCTTTATTTTTATGACTTTTTCATTGCAAAATCGTGAATTATCTCTCCAAAGTCGATTTCTCTTGAAAGTTCACGCTCGATAGACAAAATAGCAAGGTGCCTTAACCATTCTTGTCCCATAGTAGAATGCCTGCAGTTTTTGATGAGTGCTAGCTTGCTGAAATTTCTTTTGGCTTCTGCTGCAGTCACTGGCACCGTGCAAAAGATCCATATGGCTACACACATTTCACTGAAAATTAGTTGCGGTTGTTTTTTGTAAATCTCATTTAATAAGATAAGTGGGGGTAGTTCATACTCGTTTCCAAAAGTAGATTTGAAGATATTTTCAGATGCAACATTTCACAAGGAAAATTCTTGGAAAGATCTGTAGGATACCTCTGAAGTAGGTATTTAGAAGCTTCATCCACATACTTTAGGACTGAACAGAATGTAAAACAAATGTTACTGGTTGCTTTGAATTTGCACTCTAATTCATAGATAAAGTCGTCCAAAGTTGCATCAAAAACATTCCTTCTGAATAAAGATTCCAGATCATTTTCAGAGATGGTAGAACATGATTCCTCAGATGTGTCATCATTAAATCTTTTCTGCTTCTTGCCTCTCTCCTTTGTTAATTGTGGCAAAATTCCCATGCCTTCTGCTACAAGACTTGTGTCCTGTAGAATTTTGGGCCACTGATCTCTTAAGTTGTTTTACTTCTACAATAATGTCAGGAATGAGAGCTGCCTCTGATTCAAGAGAGATTCCCCTGGTTTGTAAAATCTTGCTTCTGTCATCAATACTTGAAAGGACCTTGTACCAGAAGCTAGCCAACAAAAGGCATGAAAATGAGCTGAAGTACCTTTTCAGTGCTTCCAGTTGTGATTAAAATTTGTGTGTCAAAGAGCATGTTCCAATGCTTCCAGAATACCTGGAAGATGCTTTGTGAGTGCACAGATAGCATCAGCACGTGTACTCCAGCGTGTGTCTGGCAAAGTGCAGTAAGCAGTATAACTTACCTGTTATAATCTTCCACCTCACAGGGCTAGCACTGAAAAACACAAAGTTGCTGCACACAACCAAAAAAAATGTTAATGTTTCAGTACGTGTTGCTGCAGCATTAACTCTTTATAAGGTGTAGTGAATGGAAAGCACAAGGAGAATATACAGCAAGTTTATTTTTCAATATAATGCAGGCCCGAACACCTTTTATCTTCTCTGACATATTAGAGCCATTATCAAAAACTTGACCTCTCCAGTCATCAAGAGGAATGTTATGACACTTCAGGCAGGCAATTAGCATTTCAGCTATCTGTTCTCCATTTTTTTTAATCAAAGCTGATAAACTCAAAAAACCTTTCTTTAATGTTAATTGTACCAGTATCATTGTTGTGGACTATAAATTGGAATATCAACACGTGTTGTTCTTGGTGAGAGACATCAGGAGTAGCATCACATATGATAGAATAATAAATGGACTTTTCTCTCTCTGCAAGGATGGACTTCTGCACAGTCTTACCACATAATTCAGTAAACTCATTCTGACTCTCCGATGAGAAATAATGAGCTTGTCCTTGCATCATTTTGCCGTCTGTTTGCTTCTGTTTGACTTTGGCCAAATGGTCACGAGTGATGCTGTCCTAGTGAGCTATTAACTCAAGAGTTCCAAGAAAGTTGTCATTGTGTGGGTCACCTGTCAGATCATCATCTTCTTGGGATGCTAAACCTCTTGAAGCAAGATATAAGTTAATATCCAACAATCTTTCCAATATTTCTTTCCATCTTGTTGCTTCTCTTAATATTTGTTTTTGAACCTCACTGTCTGCTCCATGTCCACCTGACAGTGACTGCTGTAATTCCTAAGTGTGATAGCAGGTCTCTGCTCAGTTTGGAGCAGTGTGGGGATGAGGTGAGCTGCATTATCCCTGTAGTCCCACCATTGGTAATAGAGCACTTTGAAGCTTGGCTACTATTATCTCTGCAACTGGCTGATTAGCAGTCACCTCACGAAAGAAGATGCTGGCAGTGGACAATGGCACTTGAGGCAGGGTGCCATCTTGCATGTGTGAGGTCTTGTTTAAATAAAACAGCAGCTAAGATGCTGCTCTGGTTCGTTGGTAACTCCTTAATCTGATCACTTTGTGGTGCCTTATCAACCTGGTGTGGCCTTCCTGTCCTTGGCCTAAAGTGTTACACTTCCTCCCTCGCATTGATGTGAATTGTGCTGTGTGCTGGTCTCTTGGAGGCTATGTTTTCAGTTATGCTTTACATATAAAGCATTAGGGGGGTGCTTCAGGGAGAGAATTGCCCCGCCCATGCCCTATTATTTATTATTAAGAAGTCCCGACGGAAACAATACTTTTTTGAGAGTCCTGATTTGGGCATTTTATTTCCTACTGAGAATAATTTGCTGCTTCCACTGTGGAGTTCAAGTGGTTATTTTCTAAAAATGGAAAACAAGATACACTCCCTTTTTCCCTTTTCTGTTGTACTTGACAGATGCGTGCTTATGGGTAACTACTGCTTACTGAGCTGTGTTGTGGTTTCCAGTGATACAGTGTTGAGGGATTTATGGAGATTGGTTAATCTAATTTTATCTCTATTTTCCTAGCTCTCCACTTTGCTTTTCCCTTGGTTATTATGTACCTCTTATCTATTGCATAATTTTTAATTGAGGCACAGCTTTCTGGTATATAGACTATGGAAATGGATTTTAGGAGGAGTAGTTCCTGCCCCTTATTTATCGCATACTGTCTGTTGTTCAGAAAAATAAAGGCAAAGTATTAAAGATATGTAGAATAATTTATATTTGGAGAATTGTTATGCTTCCTTTGGCTTTCTTACAGTGCCTGAAGCAGTATGTAGAGCTTCTGATCAGAGAAGGTCTGGAAACAGCAATTAGTTGCCCAGATGCTGCCTGCCCAAAGCGAGGTCATCTACAAGAAAATGAGGTAAGTTTTACTGCAGATTGGTTCTAATACATTTCAGTGCACCTCATTCAGAATATTACTGTCTTTTATTGCCGACATGCGTTTAATGGTTTTGTATAGATCAAAATATTGTGTCTCCATCCATTTAAAATGCCTTGGGTTATTTTTGTCCTTAATTTAATGTCTTTTTATTTATTTATTTTAACAGATTGAGTGTATGGTTGCGTCAGAAATCATGCAAAGGTATAAGAAGCTACAGTTTGAAAGAGGTACAGTATGCAACAGTAGCCATTACTCCATTTCTCCTATCTGGCTTTCAGCTCTGTGGGAGTAGTATTTCTCCAGACTGATCCCAGTGCCACAGATCAAAATTTAGTCCTGTATATGTTTATACAGTACTGTTGCAGCTTTACATGCTGTGTCAGTAGAACAAAGCTTGAATTGTTTCTGCTTTTGCCCTCATGTTGCCATTTACTGCATTCCAGGAATGAGACACAAAAAGAAAATTGTTATGTATTATATTGCTCTGTTACCAGGAAGGGAAATTTTCCCGGCAATGTGCAGATTTATATGTATAGCATAGTGCTGCTATATAGGATGGCAGTACCCTGGGTTCTGGCTCTTCTGGAGTGCTGCCACAAACTCAGATGTTGGAACCTTGCACAAAGTGCCAGGTAACTCTTTATGAGTTAGTACTAGCTAACTTGTGCTAAGGTATGCCACGTTAAGCACAGTCTGAATATAAAAAAATTGATTGCTACTCAGGGAGACGGGGTATGTTTTTGGGCAGCTAATGGTATGAGAGAACTTGAAAGAAAGCTTCTCTTTTGGTAAAGGCACCTGAAGTAGGTGGGAATCTTTTCATTGAGCTCAGTGGTCTTCACATTAGGCCTAGAGTTAGTAGTAAAGCTGTGCGTCAGTAAAGGGATAAGTCTGATTTACATTGCTTTGATGCTCACTTGCAGCAAGTCCTTATGTGTGTCTGTTTGGATACACCAAACAAGAGACCAGTTTTGCAAAGGTGACCCTTTTCCATCTGGTTTGATAAGCGGAGTACAGTATTTTGCAATTTAAAGACTATTTTGCAGCTGTGACTTACTTTGGTTCTGTTCTGGTTCTTTGCAGAAGTGCTTTTGGACCCATGTCGGACTTGGTGTCCCTCTTCTACATGCCAGGCAGTTTGCCAACTACAAGAATCGGGGCCTAAGAATCCCCAGTTGGTCCAATGCAAAGCTTGTGATATAGAATTTTGCTCTGCTTGCAAATCTAACTGGCATCCAGGACAAGGCTGTCAGGAGAATATGCCAATTTCCTTCCTTCCAGGAGAAACAAGGTACAGTGTTATTTTATTGGGTATATCGACCTAGATCAAATTCATGCATAAACGAGAGGAATATAAATCCACCTTCAATCAAGGGCCACTTTTTTTCCTGTTTGTTCAAGGTATTTTTCACGCAGCTGTAGCAAGTATCTTTTGAAACACTGTGTGTATAACATTAAGGGTGTGGTGGCTCCTCCACTGACTCAGCACCACAATTGTGGAGAAGGTGGTACCACTTAGTGGCACAGAGAGACTGTGTGGGGTCAAGGCCCATTGGTTGGATGAGCATGGCTACCAGCAGCAAATTCTGTTGATGTCGTCATCACATCCGTCTCAGATGGTAGCTAATTTGGAGCATTCTAACCACCAGGCTGTAAGCTCAGCTGGTACGGTAGTATTCTCCAGCCTTCCTGAGGGTAATCAACTACATGGAAGGGAATGCAAGAGTTACAGGACCAGAGAGAGAACAAGCAAGAGAAGTCTTGACTCTCTAACCCAGGGAGGAGCACACTCCCCTCAGAGGGAGGTAGTCCTGCATTCTGGTCCCTGCTCCTGTGATAGCCTATGCATTTTGCATTAAATGTTAGATAAAATGCAGAAACCTTTGCAGAACCCTGGGAGAGAGCTGATATTGTAAATTAATACCTGTCTTCTGTGCTTCCTGTTGGTTGTTGTAGGCATCCCCCTGTTTAGTATACTGAACATTGTAAATGCCAGCATTCAGTGGGCCAGTCTCCCTCTAAAGTGTAGTTCCCTAACTCAAGTTTGTGATTTCCATTCCTCAAGCCAGATATCTACATTTCTGTAATGGAAACACTTAGCATTCCCACACCAAAGTCCTTTTGTGACTTGCTCTGTCTCTCCCTTTCCCCTTAACTGCCTTCTTCATAGAAGCCCTTCCCCCAGAGACTGTCACTTGGATCATGGGATATTTACAGTCTGCTGGTAAGGGATATAATAGCATTCTGTTTCCCCACACAAGAAATTAGAGAAGGAACAAGGCACTTGGATGGAAATTTTGATTCTGGGCTGGTCTGATTGATGCCAAAGAAGGGAGACCATGTTCCCCTGTTCATCTCTTGCACACCTAGCTATTTTGTTGCCATTGTCAAGATTTAACAGCTTTACTAGATCCATTCAGGTTACTGAAAAAAAGTTTTAAAATTCCTGATAAAATGTATATGTAAACTTGACATGTCTGTTTGTTTGTTCCTACTTTATGCTCATAGAATTTCCATTGCAAACACACAAGGATACCTAACTTACAGATATCCCCCAATGTCCCCCACAGTTCTGTTTTCAAAATGGAAGAAGATGATGCTCCAATCAAACGCTGTCCAAAGTGCAAAGTTTATATTGAGCGAGATGAAGGTTGTGCCCAAATGATGTGTAAAAACTGCAAACATGCCTTTTGCTGGTACTGTCTGGAATCTCTTGACGTGAGTAGATGCTGTGGGCTTAGGTGGCTATTATAGGCTTAGAAGTACCTTGCTTTGTATTAAAACTGGCCTATTAATGAATAGTACTAACATCACTAACTCTGTCTGGCTCTTCCCCACTCTGCCTTCTGTATGCTTTGGAGCCTCAATATTTGCTCTACTTAGGATCTCTTGAGCGTATATTGATAACGTTTCATAGAAGCAGGTTATTAGCTGCCATGGTTCCCCAGCTTTACCTGTGGCAGGTGAGGGTGCTAGGTCTGTGTTGTCAGAGTTAATGGTAGTCTTATGTGGAGTTTAGATTATACCTCGTCTCTGACGGTTTGCATATGGATGTTCCTGCCTCAGGCGCGGGGGTTGGAGTAGATCACCTCTGGAGGTCCCTTCCAGCCTTACTTCTCTCCGACTCATAAACGGCAGTGGGTAGTTTCTGCTATGATGGGAGCAGGGCCCCCGAGCATCATGTGTATCTAGCACATGCACTTTATTTTGCCCAGACACTTTTGCAGCCAAACTGCAGCCTACTGATAATGTTCAGAAGGGAAGTGCAGGGTGAATGTAACTACACAGAATCCCAAACTGCCTAAAAGTCAGAAACTGCAGTTACATAAATGCCACTTAGGTGCATGAAGTAAAATAAGATTTAGCCCTTTATCTTATGTTACCTATCTGAACAATCGAGAGAGAAAGAAGCTGAAATAACATGACATCTGATGGAAACGATTCATTTGCTGTCTCTTAATTTGTTTCTCACTTTGTATTCAGTACGGTACAGTGCACAGAAAGGAGGCAACTCCTTCCCAAAGTACTTTCAGTCTACAAAATGCAGAATGATTGTATTTGCATTATTTTTAGTTGTGCAAGGCGTCACGTCATATAATAAGGAAGGAACTTTATATATAGTGTCGTACAGGATACCAACCTTGATTATAGTGTAGAAATTTATTAGTGATATTTTTTTAAGAAACTTGTTTCCTAAGCCTGCTCTATGTGAAAACCAGTAATATTCTGCTAGCTAGCATTAGGAGATAAACTTTAACTCTTTATCTGCTTGTTGTAATGGCTTTAAACTTTTTAAAAACCATATCTTATTGTGGCCATTTCCTTGGCTTATGTATAGAAACATTTATTTCAAAGCATAGATAACAAAGTTAAAAGGAAATATTTCATATCCCAAAAATGTACTCTGAATACTGTAAATCCTGAAATTGTCATGTACCAAGGCCTTACCAATAAGCTTTTATTCATCGGCACTGCTGTAGTGATCTGAAAAGTGTCTAGTCTGGTAAATTGCTTGTATGGAAATATGATACATCCAGAACTGGAAGATGGGCATTTCTCCCATCGAACTGTATAGATATTTGCTTTTTTTCTTTCTTTTTTTAGCAGCAGTATAAGGGCTGTGTTTTGAAGTGTGGCGTCCAAGGAGCAGGAAAGTTCTTTTCCCTTTTCTCTTCAAATTCTGTTGTGTAAATTCCATCTATCAGCATTTTAAATAGACATCTTGGATTTTTTCAGAAATAATGAGTACTAACAAATCCCAGTGATTCCCACTGCAGATGCTGTGTATCTTTGAAAACCAGGCTACTTTATTATGATGCTGAATTTTCAACAATGCTCTTGGAAAAATATTAGCATTTCTATAGCCACTTTTCCAGAACGCAGATTTATTTCCTACTGAGAATAGAACCCGTTGCTACTTCTGAGAGTGGGAATATTTTATTGAAGGAACAAATTCTTCCTAACTGGGTCTCTACTAATTGATAACATTTTCTGTTGAATGTTTTTAGGATGATTTCCTCCTTATACATTATGATAAAGGACCTTGTCGAAACAAGTTAGGTCATTCCAGGGCATCTGTTATTTGGCACAGAACACAGGTAAGTGCAGATCTTTTAAAAGCTTTGTATATACCCACATTGAAATATTTTAGTCTCTATTACTGAGCTTCCATACTGGATTCTGATTTTGATCCTAATAGCAATGTCTGACTTGACTGAAGCTGGTCAAAATTATTTGTAGAAAGTCATTCCTGGTTTGAGTCTTTGGCTGGTTGGTTGACTGGTACCTCTTCTGGTATCAAGTCAAACAGCAGAACATTAATCAGTAGCGAAAGTGTTTTTGTACACTTCCTTCCTTCTCTCCTTCCTTCACCATGAAGAGAGGCAATGGGCATGCCTCACTGAGGGGTCATCTTCTTTTGCAACAGTCTCAAGAAATGTGGAGGATGCATCATGGGCCAGATTCACAGAGGGGCAGAGTATACTGAGTGATCCTGTCCCTGAGTTAGGCACCTGGTTCTCGGGGTAGAATTGTAACAGGGTCCACTCCAGGGGTGGCCATGATGCATCTGGAGCCCCCTCAGCCCTTATCAACTTCACTGTCTTTGGGCAGTCTCCCCTTTCACTTGCCTGCCATGCTTTGATGTTATGATTTTAGAAAAGGAGGCTGCCCCAGGGCTTCCTAAGTCAGAGCTCCTTATAAGCGTTGGTGTCACTGCTCATTGCCTCAAGGACTAATTGCATGGACACAGGATGCCCAAACCCAAGCTAGATATATAAGCTCCCTGTACTTTAAATGGGGAAAATTGGTTGCCTAGGTTTGAGATTCGCAACATGCAACATAGATGAAGCCAGGGGACACCCAAGTCATTCAGTAGGAAACCCTGAAGGACGGGATGTGTCACTCTTCCCTCTCTACCTCTCTCCCTAACTTAAGTTCTTACCTGCAGGCCTCAGTGAGGTATGTATATAGAGGACTGGGATTCACAATCTGAAGCTGAAGCCTAGACCAGGGTGTCTGTGCTGATCATTCATGTACAAACAACCAGCTCTTTTTTTGTTTGTTTGTTTTTTAAAGAGTTATCTTATGTCCATGAGGCCAGAGGCTTGGCTAGGTTTGGAGACTCTCTCCACCCATTCTATTGAAGCTGTGCCACTCTGTAGAAAGTAGTGAAAGATCTGTAGGGCCAAAGAGGAAGTAAGAGGAAGTTTTGATTCTGCAGCCCTGTAAAGAAGACAGTCCCTTAAAAAGACAGGGGGGAGTCTTGGGTTCTGGTCCATGGCCCCACAAGTGCTTTTTTGCACTGAAGAATCTCTGGCTAAAATGCATTCTGTAAAATGCTCCTCTGCTGATCCCATCACTGCTTTTCAGGTAATGTATCTGTTAGTGTTGTACTTAACTGCTGTTAGGCTCTGAACATGCCTACTGGATTGGACTCTTCCAGAGACTTGAATGCAGGAACCCGTAGGACATATTAGGGATCTAATTGGACATAAGTGTGATCCTATTCCATCCTGATCAGTGCTCTAAAAAATGTTAATGAACCTACTTTTATGACAGGCCATCATCTTTGCCTTAAAGCTAAGTCAAAAAGAACAGAAAGGAGGAAGAAGGCTCATTTCCCTTTTGTGCTTAAGTGTTATTCAGAGATTTAAGCAAGGTGGAATAAGATCACACGTAGTCATTTACACCTACTTCAGCCCTTCAAAAAATGGAGTAGGATTTGGCCTGTAATCTGTGAATCCCAAGCAGCCTTTGGGAAGGATACGTGCCTAAACTTCAGCCATCTAAGATGGTGGTGCCTTTGGGCATGTCCAGTAGCTGAACTTGTAGGTGCCTAAGTGGGTCAGGCAGCTCTTCTCTGAATTAGCCTCCTGGCATAAAAGCACCAACATTCCTTTGAAAAACTTAGTCCATGAAAAATACAAGATAAAAATGAAGTTGGTTTATTGATTGGATCGCCATTTTAGTTCCCCATTCCAGGCATTTGTTGAGATGAGGGGGAGGAACACAGAACCTCCAAATGCCTAGTCTCTGCTAACGCAGTCAGAGGCTGAGTGCTTACATCTCCTTTCTTACGGGGTGTTTCAAGGAAAGCAGCTTTTAAAATCCTAACAAGAACAGAGTGAAAAGTACTTGACATGAAATGGCATTTACAGGGTTTTTTTTAATTGCCCCTATTTTGCTAAAGTTTAGTTTATTTAAAATGGGCAGATGTTGACAGAAAAGACTTCTGTTATAAATAGTTTGCCCATCTCTATGTTTTCCCCCACAGCAATGATTACTATGCTGCAGTGTGGCATTGTTAGCAACATCAGCAACAACATTAATGTAATTTGCTAGACAAAAATTGAGTTTTCAGGAAATGCATCTCAAGCACCTGTTTGTGTGGTGTCTTACATGAGCTGTTACGGTCAGTTCCAGTAAAAGGATCTTTGGGATTTTTTATATGTATTCTTCATTTTACTTAATCCATTTTGTGTTTTGTCAAATATAGACCTTAACATTATTGACTCCAAGATGAACATGGGCCGACAATGCGAGGTCATCGTTGGCAGGGCTAACCGGACCTTGTCGTGCATCCACAGGTGCATCTCGAGTAGAGCCAAGGAGGTGATCCTCCCCCTCTACGCGACGCTGGTCAGGCCACAGCTGGAGTATTGTGTCCAGTTCTGTGCGCCCCATTTCAAGAGGGATGTGGACAATATGGAGAGGGTCCAGAGGAGGGCCACCCGCATGATCCGGGGACAACAGGGCAGACCCTACAGTGAGAGACTGCGGGACCTGAACCTATTCAGCCTCCACAAGAGAAGGCTAAGGGGGGACCTGGTGACTGTCTATAGACTCACTAGGGGGGACCAGAAGGGTTTGGGGGAGACGCTGTTTCCCCTAGCGCCCGCTGGCATAACAAGGAGTAATGGGCACAAGCTGATGGAGAGGAGGTATAGATTGGACATCCGCAAAAACTACTTCACGGTTAGGGCGGCTAGGAGCTGGAACCAACTTCCAAGGGAAGTGGTGCTGGCCCCTACCCTGGGGGTCTTTAAGAAGAGGCTGGATGCCTACCTGGCTGGACTCGTTTGAGTCCCGTTTCTCTTTTTGGGGTTTTTTGTTGTTCTCCCGCCCTGGCGGGGGGTCGGGCTAGAAGATCTACTAGGTCCCTTCCGACCCTTAATCTATGAATCTATGAATCTATGAAAAACATGCCCAGAGGTACATATGGAAAATGCTGTGCCTTGGAAAGGAAATCCTGTCTTTCTTGGAACAGTGTTCTCCCCATTTACCAGCATCTCTCAGCAGCACAGAGAGGCTATGCTGATACTTGGTTGGCTTGGTGTAGGGCATGGCAGATTTGTAAGACTCATATGCTGGTGACAGAGAGAGAGAAAATTTGAAGATTTAGGGACCCAATCCTAAAAACACTTAAAACCCCGAGAATTTCCACTTAAGAAAGATATGCAAGACAGGCTCTTTCTATTATGCTTGAACTTAATTCGCAACTCTTAACAGAGCAAGGAGCAATGGTCTAAAGTTGCAGCAGGGGAAGTTTAGGTTAAATATAAGGAATAACTTTCTCATAAGCAGGGTAATTAACCTGTTCCAGTGCTGTCCTAGAGTGGTTGTGGACTCTCTATCCTTGGAGGTTTTTAAGATATGACTAGACAAAGCCTTGACTCAGATGATCTAGCTGGGGATGGCCCTGCTTTGAGCAGGGGGTTGGACAAGATGACCTCCTGAGGTCCCTTCCAACCCTATTTTTTCTATGATTCTGTTAGCTAAGAGGAGCTGAAATAAGTCGTGTTTTATAGTTTGCTTTTCATATGTTCCACTGGACAGTGTAATATCAAAATGAAAGGCACATCCAGGAGCATTCTGCTGCAGATCAGTTCTAGGCATTACACTTGCTAGGAAAAACCCTTGTTGGTCAGCAGCAGCTGAGTTCAAGTGAAAAATGTGACTAATACTCAGCAAAGAACCTGGTGAACTAATATTAAAACTCCAGGATAAATTCATTGATGGCAGGTCTGGACTGAAAGTGAAGTATAAGCTGTTCTCCTGTTTCTTACAAATACTACTGATCATCAGTCCAGTAGACTGCTAGCTTCACCCTTGGCTCCTCTGCTGAACTGGTGGCATCCCATACTGCCCTCTGAAAAGCCTGCTGTACTTGGCTGAGTGAGTATGCACCGGCTTCAAAGAACAGAACAGGAAACTGTAGCTTAATAGCAGATAGAAGAAGCACAGGTGAAATCTAAGCTTCATTTTCAGCATGGGTGCGAGTAGGTATATCCAGTAATTTTTAGTGCCTCAATCCATCATTAAACTATCAAATCATTTCCATCTTTCAAATAAGTTGTAAATGTGCATACAATGTGCATTTAAAAAGTAATTGCCTTTTGGCAGAAGATAAAATGTATGAGGGTGAGGCAAGCCAAAAGCAAAGTTTAAAAAAATAAATAAATAATCCTAGCCCAATGTTACAAAGTAAGGAGTTCTTTACTCTTCAAAATTTATTTTGTTCAACAGTGCCACCTGCTGTTGAACTGAATGTCGGTTTTCAACTCTGGAAATAATAAGAAAAAAAGCTGGATAACAAAATAATGGAAAAAATACGCAGTAGTCAAGAAGATAAACTGTCCGTGCTTGAAAAAGTATCAAATAAGCCATTAAAAAGTTAAAGTATATCTTCCAGAGCAGGGCAAATAAAATATTTGCACACTAATTGAACTAGCATATCTGAGAGCTGGGAGAAGAATCCACTATAGATAATGTATTTAAATGTCACCTCACTGTTCATGAATAGATTATAATGCTACTCCTGCATTCATTATTCAAAATTCATAGAATTGCTTCTTTGAATAATAGTTCTTGGCTGAATACTTTGCAAGCAGGGTTTGCAGAATCTACCCTCTCATTTGCCTAAGGCAACAATCATAATAACCTTCCAAATGTGAACTGGGTAGCAAGAAATGCAGTATTTCTAGTGCTCAGAGATTTTCTATAGTGTGGCAGACCTGCCGTTTTCATTGCTGCCCCAAGCCTTTTCAGTAGTGGCAGTACAAGTGACAAGCAACAGGTTCTTTTCACTGTGGAGTCTGGGAAAACTCTGAGATGCATCAGTAAAGGTAGTCAGAACTGTTCATTGAGAAGGTAGTTGTCCACAGGGTGGAAAAAGTAACTCGCCACATTGCAGCAACCTGAAAGTGGAAAGACAACACAATTGTGGGAAGAGCATCTTGCGTACTCTAGCAGCTGCTTAGGGAGCAGACCAGTTGAAAGGAGGAACAGAAAAAGATAGAAAACAGTCCTCCTGTTCAGAAACCAGATAGAAAGAGGTAAGATACCAGATTCACTAGGCAACTGCTAGCCAAATGCATAATATGGAGTCCCATAACAGCACCCACGAGTCGTCATCTATCAGCTGACTGAAAAGTCGCTTCTGTTATCGCAATAAAAATGACAATATAAAGCATCTAAATTGTGTTCTTCTAGCACAGGTAGCACTCAGCAATTTCAGCTATATGAAGAGCTTGTGAAAAGATTTTACAACTTTGCATGGTTGTCTCTTGCAAACAACACTCATCAGTATTGAAATGTCAGTCATCAATTTATGATTTCATAAAAGAATGTACTGTACACAAGAAGTTCACCATTGTTTAGATTAAATATTGCTCTTTGAAAGAAATGCAGTTTTGAGATGCTTGTAAGAATCTGTGTGACTTAATATAAATACACAAGACCTCAACATCAGAATCCTTCAGACCTAGACATCAGAGATACCAAAAGCTTAATATTAATATTTTACCTGGGTAGAAAAAAAATGTACCTATCCAAGTGTACTGTTTAAGGGTAGCTTTATTCTGTATAAGAAATGTAACAAAACCTTTCACTGCAAGGAAGCATCCACATAAATTTATTCCATCTGTTTGGCACATAAGTGGACATAGGTGTCTAAGTGTCATTTTGTTCCACCCTACTCAAGTTTTTGAAAAAAATTAATACAAAAGGTGGGTGGGTCATCATCTTCCTCCTTGCTGCTCTTTTGTGATTCAGTCTTAAGGGTAGGATGACAGTGTGTTACAAAAGTAGATGCGTTAATTAATTTTTCAAGGACTTAACGTGGAATAGAAGTACATTTGAGCACCTCAGTGGATGTATGTGACTAAGTGCCATAAGATTTGGCCCATAGTGTAAATTCTGACTGAACCAATGGAAAAAGACCATTGCAATCTCAAAACTACTTTCTCAAGATTCGAACCTGTTCCTGTCTTCCCATTTGAAAACAAGCAATTGTTTTTTCTAACTATTGTTATATTTCATTATATTTAGTCACCCAAACCTTTTTGGGGGTACAGTTAGGGAGAAATCCTGGCCCCATTGAAGTCAGTGGCAGTTTAGCCGTTGAATTTACTGAGGTCATGTTTTCTGCCCTAGTACATTGGCTTTGTGTTGGGGCAAAATTTGAACTCTTGTATAATAAATACACTACTGACCCCAGATATTTCTGTTGTGTTTTTCAGGTGGTGGGAATCTTTGCAGGATTTGGTCTACTGCTGTTGGTGGCCTCACCTTTCCTTTTACTTGCTACCCCATTTGTTCTTTGCTGCAAGTGCAAGTGTAATAAAGGAGATGATGACCCACTACCTACTTAGATCAAGAGAAAATGGGACTCATGGCAGCACATTTTTTGTTTCCCTGTTGCACTCTATGTTGCTGTAGCCTTTCTTGCCCCATCCTGCTTTTGAGTGACACATGGAGTTGGCAACTCCAGGAACAGTTGTTACTACAGTTTCATAGACCAATTCATAATAGTTGAGGAGGAGAATAGAAGGCAAGTTGGATGTTTAGGGGATGTCAACAACCAAGATAGATATCTGAAATTAAGAGATGGAGATATTGGTTTCTTGTTACCCCAGCAAGTTACCATGTGGGACTAGGAATTGTGCTAAGTTACATCAGCAAAAGAACCTGAATTTTCCATGCAATTTTCACATGTCCACATGCTTTAAAATGGTGTCTTATTTCTACATATATTTATGTTGCCTATCATTTAAATTGGGCAGTTCATCTGACATGTTTGTTATGACCATGTTTTTATGAATATTGCCATTGCAAAATTCTGTGCTGGTGTATATTTTTCCAAGGATAATGAAATCAGTAAGGTGCATGTAGGCCATCATATGCCTTTTTG